TATGTGTGTGTGTGTGTGTGTGTGTGTGTGTGTGTGTGTGTGTGTGTGTGTGTGTGTGTGTGTGTGTGTGTGTGTGTGTGTGTCTCACATTTTGCTGTTGGATGGCCATGACTTTCGGCAGTAATGTATTAATGCGGATATGCGTGTAAGACGATGTGTAATGCTTAGCTTAGTAGCATTCTAGCAGGCATCGACACTGCCGTATACTCGTTACCGCTGACACTCTCGCTGCTCGTCCATAGCGGCAGCCGGTATATCCAGTCCCGCATAATTTTAACCGCAAGATATACGGAGTTTCCCTCGAGGTCAAAGTACGTATGCATCCGCGAGACGTGCGTACCTCGACGAAACTGTTCCGTCAATTCGCTGACGATTTTCGGAAAGAGGAGAAGGAGAAACAAATGATAAATGATCGGATTTTGCATGAATCTCCGAACTTAATCTCGCTAATAATTTGTCACAACGTTGAGTCTTTGCCAGTGCAATTCGATCTGGAATGACACGACCAGCGTACTCGCTGGTCGATATTGTATCGGAAATTTTATCTATGTGAATTTTTCATACATGGCTCAAAGGTTGCGACACAAATATTCATTCTTCAAATATTTCTGCATTTTGTTTATTAATGTATTCACTTTTATCAAATTAATTGTAATTTCTCCTTTAACTTACTTTTCATCTCTTTTAGTTCTAAGAATTAAAAAAGGATAAATTAAACTGAGATATATTAAAATTAATCTATAATACATTGATGGAAATGAACATAACTTACTTAAAATGTACTAAATTAATATGGATATGATCAGAAAGACTTCATTAGCGTCCATTGGCTATAGCTATAATTTAACTTTAACTATAACTTAACACAGGATTTGGAAAAAAACAGAATTTATCGATGATGTCGAGACTTCGATAACGTCGTTCGCGAAAATTTATATCGGTTTATCGTTGTCTCATCGATCTTCCTTTTCCTCTCGTCTACAAAATAGACACCGTGCTGTGGCTATTCTTGGCGCGCCTGTTACTGCTAATTACAGGCCTCGACAGAAATCACGATCCGGAAGCGAGCGCATCCCGGCGCTCCTGTTCTCCCCGCGTTTAATATTCTTTGGAAGCGGAGTAATTCAGCCGAGTCATCGGTTGGACATAGTGGTCGAGTGGACAACGTCGTCGAAAATTAAATTTCCTGCGTGATGTGGACGCGC